ATCAGTACAATACATTGAATTGTGTCCATTTCCAAGCCAAATTATTGGTAGCTTCCTCTTGTCTTTTGGAGCAGCTGACCTCACGTGCCCACTGGGAGCCCCGAGGCTCTCTGTAGGAACTGCCCTGAGACCTCATGCTGGAGAGGCCGCATGTCACACTTCAGTTGACCACCCCAGCTGAGCCCAGACTTTCCAGTTAACCCCACAAGGTGCCAGACACGTGAGCAGAGCTCTCTGGGACTGCAGTGCAGCCACCCCAGCTGAGTCCGCTGAGTGAGCCCCGTGAACACCGCGAGGCAGCAGAACCACCGGCTGAGCCCCGCACTCATAAGCAGGACAGCAGGTGAGCGGGACGCAGGATCTGACCAGCAGAGGGGAGGGCCCAGTGGCCTCCCAGAGGAGTGTGAGCGCACAGCCAGGAAGCTGTGAAGGTGCCGAGCAAACATGCAAGAACTGGGTTTGGGTGAACGTGGGGAACCTAACAACAGTGTAAGGGGAACATAACTGTAAAGAATCTGAAGGTCTGTGTATGTCATAGATTTTGTAGTTAATGGATGCCACTAGGACTATGGTTTAACTTTTTATTATGGAAATCTGTAAATATACACAGAGGACAGGATAATGACCCATCTCAGCTGGGGCTCGGGGGACGTAAATGTTTCCTAGCAAAAGAATGATCGATATTTGCTAGTTTTTCCTGATATATTTTAAGCCAAATCTCATACATATCATTTTACCTGTAAGTGTTCCAGTATGTAGTTCTAACAGAGAAGATCTAAACAAAGTAACTGTGAAACCACTTTCACACCTAAAAACATCACCCATCCTAATAGGAAACCCATCCCATGGTCAGTTTCTCCTCCTGCCTTCCTGTTCTGCGCCGGATCCAGAGTCGAGCTGGGCCCACGCGGTGTTTGGCTGATTTGGCTCTGAGGCCTGTTGAAATCATGGCAGTTCTGCATCAGACCCTCTTTCCTGTCTGTCTGTCCTGCGGAACGTCCACCGGGCTCACGGCACCCCCACGGCTCCAGGTGATATCCCAGAGCTACCTCCCCGTAAACTAGGAGTGAGAGAGGTGGGGACACCAGGTCAGGCTACGTCTGAGAAGGTGGATCTGAAGTTTACGATGAGGTAGTCACAGACAACGAGGGTCTGCTCACCTGGCCTAGGCTGGAGGGCGGGGACGGGGAGGAGCACACAGGCGTCAGAGGGCTATGGATGGAGAGGGCGGAGGGGTGCTGGTGATGAAAACCACTCCTGACACGTGTTGGGTGCTTACCGCATGTGATCTGTACATGTGATCTCTGGTCTCAGCGTGCCAGGTATTCCCCATCTCGCAGAGCGAGGCCTAGAGAGGACACGTGACTGCGTACATGGTTAGTATATGACACATCCCTGGAACTGTGTCCTTGGCTACTAAGCCAAATGGCAGAAATGAAGCCCCCGCAGCTGCACGGTAACTGGGGGGGAGAAACATGGGGGAGTCAGGCCGTCGAACACAGGCCGCAGGTGCGTGGGGGTGCACAGCGAGTGGGCTGAGTGCCAGACAGCGCTTGAGGCCTGCTATGTCCGCACCCCTAGAACCCTCCTTCCAAAGAGAATGCAGACTCCTGGGCCCCATGCCAGGCCGACGGGCCAGAGTCCCAGGGAGCGTGGCCCAGGATGTGAATGAACAACCACCTCGGGATTTTTGGGTGAAGTTCGAGAAACACTGGCATAAAGAAGGAACCAGCTTTAGCAGAGGGAGAAGGGAGAGCCATGCACTTGACAAATGTGACAAAGCAGGAGAAAAGGGACTTGTCACAGAGCCTCCTGCGCAGTGAGCAGTTTATACGGGAAGACTGGTGAGCAAATGGAAGGGACTTGAGCAGCCTCATGAAGGCAGAGTGAGTGGCTCCTGCCACCTAACACTCGCTGCTTATTAAACCCTGGGACTTTCATCACACCCTTGTACTGAAAGAGGGTCAGTGATGGCCACTGGGGCCTGGTCAAGGTCGCCTTCCTTCTGCGGGCCTCCTCTGCGTGCGTGTGGGAGAGAGGCAGGAAAACCCCCCTGGGCAGCATCCAAGTCAGACCACAGACCCATCATGAACGACGTGGCTGGAAGACAGGTGACATAGGTGCATGACTGTACCCTGTGTCCTGTGCTAATAAAATGTTACCCACAGTGTGTAAGGCAGACAAGAAGACACTGCCCTCTGGAATACTGTCAGGCACAGGACGTCCAGTGGGCATTTGGAGAAACAGATATGGATACAGGATTGAACGGAACAGAACTGGTCCATGGACACAGTCATAAATCTTATGCTTTTTGACACCTCTTTTTTTTTCATTGGTGTCTTCCTTTTGGTAACCATAATCTTAATTTCATGAGGTTTATTTTTTAAGTAAGTGAAAGTAAAATACCAATAAAATGTTTTTAGAAGAGGGTTGCACCAACTATACCCTCATGTGACAGTACATGTAGGGTAGGGAGGGCCTGGGAGGAGACGGACTCCCGGAATGTGGATAGTGTTGTTTCTTGATCATTGTGCTGTATGTTTGATCTCCCCATTTTTCTGTATTATATTTCAACAAATATAACCCATGAAGGGTTGTGTCTCTTACCGGCAGAGATGGAGAAGTCACTCATTACTTGAGGTGTGTCATCTCCATTTGCCCAGGAACTGTAGAGCATCCTGGGCACCTTTCTGGTTGTGCGAGGAAACGGAAGCTCACCTGCTTACCGAGGGGCCTTGACATCGCACGGCACCCACTTTCATCTTCTTGGGGAGAAAGGCACACTGGGCTTCAGGATGAAGACTCACCGTCGGTGCACTGGCCTGGCCACGCCCTGTCACTGCCCCCCTTATGACGATGCTGGGGTCCCGGCCCAGGGTCAGCCTGAGCGGTCTGGGGTTGGCCGAGGACAAGCTCATCGCCACCCCTCTTTGGGGAGAAGAATCTGCGTTAACCCTCGGGAAATGTTCTTCTCATCTCATTGGCAATTATTTTATTTTATTTACTTATTTATTTTTAATCCTCACCCGAGGATATTTTTCTATTTATCTGCAGACAGAATGGGAGGGAGATAGAGGAAGAAAGGGAGAGAGAGAGAAACATCGACGTGAGAGGTACACACTGAATGGTTGCCTCCCGCACTACCCCAACCAGGGCCAGGGATGAACTGCAACGAAGATACATGCCCATGGCCAGAACTGAACCCGCGACTCATTGGTCCGCGGGCCAACGCCCTACTGCTGAGCCAAACCGGCCAGAGCTCATTGGCAATTATTGTAAAATAATTTTCTGTAGGATCCTTGGCTTATCTTACCAATTCTATAATAACACAGTAATCAAGGTATTTTTTATATATATGCCCATTAAAAATTAGGATTCAATATTTACTTTGTCTTCAAGTTCTACAACTGCATGAGCTGATGGAAGCAGACATTTCCCCCCCGCCTTGAACTCCGAATTAAAAAATAAAATTGCCACTGTGTTTTCAGGTATAAACAGGAGAGATGGGCGGAGAGCGTGGTATGTGGACCTGCCTCCCAAAGACGGAAAAAGGAAACTGCAGAGAGCTGAGTACTGTCCTCTGTGCCCACGAGCTCCTTTCTGATCGATGCCAGTGGAGAGACAAGGGTTTAAGTGTTCTATCAGAAGCAAATTCTTTCGGATACTGAAAGCAAAGAAGGAGGATCTCCACCAGACAGAGAAGAGATTAAAATTCATATCTTTAATGTATGCTCTAAACCAATCCAAACAGAACTTCCACTTTCTATTTGCTTTGGCTTTCTTCCTAGGAATGAATTTCTTGTCCTTGGGCAAAAGTACATATATTGCTTTTCTTAGTTTCTTTGGTTTTTACCCAACGCCGACTCCAGACTTTCTGCAAGGGTTAATAAGCTTTTCCCTACAATCATTTGATGTACAACCTTCTCTTTCTGCTTCTCTCTGGAAACCTGTGCGGCCCGAGTCCGTGTGATTCTGCCTGATTCACTTCACACTTTCCCTCACCCCACTCGGCTACCCTTGTCTCTTCTGGCTCAGTATTAACATAGTCCCTTTTGCTGCCCTTTGGGGAACCCCGACTGCCTTTCATGAGAGCTAATCATATGTGAGACGGTGAGCGCTCACCACTGGCCGGTACGAAACGCCAGAAACTAGGTAAAGGAAAGAGATAATCAACTGAGTTCAGAGCAGATCTTCCATGGCAGGCCCTACAGGTAATTCCACAGCGTGGCCATTATGTAGACAAGGCCGAGAGAGACTAGGGGAGGCCCGAGGCCAGCTGGGCCAAGTCCGTCACTTCCTTCGCCAGCGCTCTGCAGCAGGCCTGGTGGCCAGCCCACTTCAGTGTCACTTACTGTGCAGGAATCACAGCACACGTGGGGTCCTTCTGTTCTGGGAGCCAGAGCTCCCCAGTCCCTGGTTTCTGAAAGGCCTTCTGTACATCGGCTGGGGGGGGGGGGGGTTCCTGGATGGCAGCTCTGAACCCAGACTGTGGAGTCTTTCAAATTATCCCAAAACACAGCACTGCCAAAGGCATCTTTAAGTGCAGTTTGGGGAATTCAGGAAATTCCACACGTCTCTTTATGAGCCAGTAGTGCCGAGTGACAAGGACACCACCAGCCGCCAGAGAGCCCGGCTGGGGCGAGAAGGACGGGAGTGGGGATACCTGTGCTGGGCTCGGCAGTCCGACTCCCACCCTTCCCGGGTCCCCGAGCCTTTCCCTCGGGGATGGCGTCTGCCCCTCCCTGGGCAGCCAGAACCCCGCTGGTCCTCACGGGCCGCCCTGCCCCCGGCGGTCCTCGGAGACGCCTGCGTCCTGAGCATCCCTGGCCTTGGAGCCGTGGCCGGAGCTGGGCTCAGATGCGCTCAGCGCGGTCGCTTGGCCCCTGGCCCGCTGGCACTGCGCCCGCCCCGACCGGTCCCGCCCCGGCAGGGACGCAGGCAGCACCCGCCCGCCCGCGCCCCTCGGTCCGCGCGCCAGTCCTACCGCGCAGCGTCTTGTGGTGCGCGCGTTTCCCTCCCGCCGCTGGGTGAGCCATGGCCGCCTCCTCCGCGCGGCCCGCCGTCCTGGCCCTGACCACGCTGGCGCTGTTCCTGCTGCTGTGTCTGGGCCCAAGTAAGTGGGGGCGATGCCTGGGAGCAAGGGAGGGAGATGGGCGGCCGAGTAGGGGCTTAGGGACCCATTCTGAGTCCGGGAGAGGGTAAAAGGGTTATGGGGGTGTTGGTTTTGCACTCACAAGTAGCAAGTGGTGCGCTTGGGAGGGTCAAGGGCAAGGTCTCAGATGTGTGATAACCTGGGGGGAAATCAGGGCCAGAGGTCCCAAAGAGGGGCAAGAAGTGTTCTAGAACTAATGTAATGGGGAAGGGGTAATAGGAGCTTGAAACAGTGGGGTGGTGCACCCCAGAAGATCCCCCCCCACACACACACACACACTGTGAGCAGGCCTCACATCCACATAGGGGAACAGGCTCTTAAAGGAGAAATGCTTCAATTTCTCTACTTCATGGAGCCCTCAGCGAATGGGTTGAAAATTCTCAATGAAATGTTCCCTATAAAATGTGCATATTCACACATACTCCTCAAATGAAGCAATTTGGTGGGTGTGCAGACATCTGAACCCTGGAGTCCACAGACCCCACTTTAAGCAAGGGGGTCTGGAAAAGTATGCTTTGTCTGGATACCCCTACCGTCCCGCGTGATCCGTGGTGGTTCACTAGTGGCCTCATGCTCACAGGAGAGCCTTTGAGGCTCAGAGCTGAGAGGCAGGCACCGCGATCCCAGATCTCCTGCTGCGGGAACGGGGCCGGAAGGTGTGAAGCAGCTTGCAGACCTGAGGCTGGGCTTGTCCCAGTGCAAGGCAGCTGGGGCTGCCTGACGGAAATCAGCTCTCCCAGGTTGCTCAGCTCCCAGATCTTAGTATTCAAAGCAGGATGGCAAACCAAGCTGCTGGTGGAGGGGAGGACGGAGGCGTGCAGGGGAGCCCTGAGGTGGGGCCGAGCCCTGAGGTGGGGCCGGGCCCTGGGACCAGCAGGGGCCTGCGCCAGGGGGGAGGGTTACTGCAGTTCTAAACTGCAGCCACAGGGGAGGCTAATCAATCATTTCCCATTACATGAGTTATCTGCCTCCTACCCTTTGTTCCTCCCATTTTATTTATTTTTTTTTTTTTTATGGAAGCACTACAGTGTTTTGTTTTTTTTTTATGAAATTAAATTCGAAAGCCACTTCTCAAAGAACCCATTCTTTTTTTTTTTTTTTTAATCCTCACCCGAGGATATTTTTTCCATTTTTGTACAGATAGAGTGGGAGGGAGAGAGAGGAAGGGAGAGAGAGTGAGAAACATCGACGTGAAGGGACACATCGAGTGGCTGCCACCTGCACGACCAACCAGGGCCAGGGACAAACTGCAACCGAAGTATGTGCCCTTAGCGGGAACCGAACCCGGGTCTCTCCGGACCGCAGGCTGACGCTCTAACCGCTGAGCCAAACTGGCCAGGGCTGTTCCTCCCATTTTAAGAAGCACGTTCCGCCCTGGCCGGTTTGGCGCAGCGGAAAGAGCGTCAGCCTGTGGTCCAGAGAGACCCGGGTTCGGTTCCCGCTAAAGGCATGTACCTCGGTTGCAGTTTGTCCCCGGCCCTGGTTGGTCGAGCGGGTGGCAGCCACTCGATGTGTCCCTTTCACGTCGATGTTTCTCTCTCTTTCTCTCCCTCCCACTCTATCTGAACAAAAAAATGGAAAAATGTCCTCAGGTGAGGATAAAAAAAAAAAAGAAGAAGAAGCACGTCCCAATAAAGAAAGAACATTGGCTCTAAGCCATTCCTTTTCAGAGCTTGTATTTTATTTTGTTCATACCAAGAACTTAGTGAAAGGAGTCAATTACAATATTACAGTATCATCATTGAGCCAGAATGTGAACGTTCTTAGGACATAAAATGAAAATCTTTATCTATATGAGGAGTCCTAAAGGTGGTTCTTTGTGACACCCTAAAACATTTAATGGACAAAATGATCATCGCCCTTTTTGATCAATTAGTAAGTCGATCAAGGGATATCTTGCAGTTCGGTGCCTGCTGGGAAAGCTACGCCAGGTTACTAGATTCGATGAACTCAGAAGTGCCGATTACTGCAGCCTAGAAATAGGACTGATGGTGTTGGGGTGAAGAAAAATCCATACTACAGAAAAAAATCAGTTACTCACTTGTTCCGTTTTCCTGTGGTGTCCAGTCAGATATGTTAACATGTATCGTTCTGTGTGTCCTGATTGGCACGGTAGCAAGTGGTGATTCATGGCGTAGGGATTATCCATGCTGTTCAGCTGCGTTGCTGAGAGTTGCTGAGGCTTCAAATCCAGAGCAGTGGCGACACATTTGCTGTAAGAAATTGCAGCCTCATCGCAGATGCTTAGACCTGATGTCTGTTTCAGCATCGGACCATGTCCTTCATTAGCTGTTCAGCACTTTTACAGAAGGCAAGCTTTGGGGGGACTTCATTCCGTAGGAGCAGGAGACTGACAAGAATTCAGGTCGCAATGAGTTCAAATGCTCGTGCCAAGGAGCATCCCTGATTTGGGAAACGTGCTCTTTGATTTCTCCATCGAAGGGCAAGTGCCCTGCAAATTACCGCATCTACAGCAGCCTCCGCAAGTGCTCCTCTCTACTTACTTAGCTCAGATGGCTCCAGTCGCTCGATGTGAAGCCTCTTGGCCGGCCTGGGCCAGCGCCACAGGCTGCCTGGGTGGCGGAAACCTTACTGCATGTCTTAACCGATGGCCCCGCAGCCCCTGGAGCCGTAGCTCTCCTCCCAGAAGTTTTCTTTCTCTAGATTAAACATCTAAATTCTTTTACTTTTTCTCCTATTTTTACTTTTTTTCATATAACACACGTTTGTGCTCCTGTCCTCCCTGGACTCTCTCCTCTGACCACAACTCCAGTTTTTCTGTGCTCCTCCGAAGGCAGGTGTTCTGAACGGAAGCACAGAGCACAGGTGGTCCGGTCAGAGTAGCGACCAGAGACCTGCAGGGAGCGGCCCTGTGGTTCGCGCAGCCTGACGTGGCAGCTGCTTTTCAAGCATCAGGCAGGTCAGTGCGCCGCTGCCACAGACAGGAAACCACCGATCCTTCCGCGGCTGCCGCACCTGTGCTGCCCGAGCCCCTGCCCCGCGGACACCCAGCCTCCTACGGAAGACGCGAGGGCAGCACCCCCGGCCTTCAGTGTGGCCTCTAGAGATTCTCCCCAAACCGGGCTCCTGGGCTGGCACCCCTACGCTAAAGGCGCTTGGGTATCACTCACACGCAGACGCTACAGGGGCTGTTTGGGGACCAGGGTGTGTGCTGAGTGAACACCCAGAGGTGTTCAAATTCAAATTTTGTAAACACCGGGCCTGCCAATAAAACATCTGCAGGAAAAGTCAGCGGTGGGCAGCCCGGTGTGACCTTTCCCTACAAATGTGTTGTTTTCCCCCAGCTGCCTCGCGCATTCTTTAAGTAGGCAGTTCTTAACCTCATTTGGGTCCCAGACACTTTTGAGTCTGGCAAAAGCCATGGCTGCTTCTCCCCAGAAACTGCACCTGGCAGAGAGAAACAGGCCCTGGGGGCTGTCCTTGGAGAAGGAAGTGAAGCACCTGCCCACGCAGTGGGTACCACCACCTCGCAGGCTCCATCCTGACCCAGACGAGCTCCTTCCACCGAGATACCGGCCCCACTAGAGGCTGGGCTCCCCCAGGGCTTTGTTTCCCCTTCAGAGGACACGCCCTGTGCTTACATCTGGTGCTCAAGGGTCAGAGCTGGGCCCTCAGGGAGTGGGGTTCTATCAGGCCAGACGTTGTTTTCCATTGACACGATAGGACTGATTAGAAACATCTGTAGACGTGAATAAAAGTAAGAGTAAATGGCCCCTGCAGGTTTGGTTCAGTGGTTAGAGCGTCAGCCCGTGGACCAGAGAGACCCGGGTTAGGTTCCTGCTAAGGGCACGTACCTCGTTTGCAGTCTGTCCCCAGCCCCGGTTGGGGTCGTGTGGGTGGTCGCCACTCGATGTGTCTCTCTCACATCAATGTTTCTCTCTCTTCTTCTTCCCTCTCTCCCTCCTACTCTATCTGAAGATAAGTGCAAAAATGTTCTTGGGTGAGGATAAATAAATAAATACATAAATAAAATAAGAGTAAATGGTACGCCCTGACCAGTTTGCTCAGTGGTTAGAGCATCAGCCTGAGGACCGAAGTGTCGCAGGTTCAATTCCTGGTCAAGGGCACGTACCTAGGTCGCAGGTTTGATACCTGGCCCCGGTCAGGATTGTGCAAGAGGCAACCAATTGATGTGTCTCTCTCACACTGGTATTTCTTTCTCTCTCTGTCTCTCTCTCCTTCCTCCTCCTCCATCCCTCCCTTCCACTCTATCAAAAAAAAAATCAATAGAGCCTGGTTGGTGTGGCTCAGTGGGTTGAGTGTCATCCTGTGGACTGGGAGGTCCTAGTTCGATTCCAGGTCAGGGCACATACCTGGGTTTCAGGCTCAATCCCCAGTGTGGGGTGTGCAGGAGGCTTCTCTCTCACATGGATGCTTCTATGTCTCTCTCCCTTCCTCTCGCTCTCAAAAAAATAAAATAAAAATCAATGGAAAAATATCCTTGGGTGAGGATTAACAAAAACAAAAAAAAGAGAAGTAAATGGTACAAGCAATGCCTGATTATAAGATGAGCAGGACAAGCTGCAAAACTGGACTGATCTTGGGGGGCTAAGGCATCGGCCCCTGGCAGCCTACCTCCCACTTCTGCTCTGTCTTCCGACGGCACTTGCTCTGCCCCCCTCCTCTTCTCATAGGACACCCCAGCCATGGGGTCAGGGCCCACCCTAGATGCAGTATGATAGCACCTTGAGAGCATCAACTAATTATGTCTGCAAAGACCCTCTTTCCTGATAAGTTCACATTCAGAGGTTTCAGGTGGACGTGAATTGGGGGTTGGGGGGAAATTCCATCCACTGTACCCCGAAAAGAGAAGACTGCAGGAAGGCACCGAGGACAGATGACTGGTCTCATAAGATCCAAGGGCTGAAAGAACTGTCACTTTTCCCAGGGACTAGCTCGTCAGCCACAGTCGTGGTCACCGGCCTGAGCCACGGGCGGCCTGAACTGCCTGTTCTGCTCAGCAGGGACGGCCACCCGCCTTTAACAGTGCGATGCCACCCAACCGCCAAGTCAAGATGGGACACAGTGCTTTTCCCACTGACTTTTGCATTTGAGAGATTAAAGTGTTCGGCGCAACTCTGAACCTGACTTCTGCTTCCATTCCTTCAGGTGCCATACATGGAAGCAAACTCAAGCTGATGCTTCAGAAACGGGAAGGTGAGTGTCCCCAGCGGCGGAGGGGTCAGTGCGAGGCTGAGCGTGCTCACCGGAGTCCGTCCGTGGACAGTCAGTGCTCAGTCCTTAAAAGGCTAGCAGGTCTGAGGAGCTGGTTCCGTGGGTGTGGTGCGGTATTTTCCTAGATAAATATTATTGCCAGGAGATGTCTGAAGGCTGTTGTTCTGAAAGCTGTCAGTGTGGCCTCAGGAATGAAAGAGACAGCACTGGTGTTGGCTGATGCTGTCGATGTGAGAACCCTGACCCCTCAGAGCAGCACCAGACCCCAGCAGACTCTCTGGCGCCCAGCAAGTGGGCGGGGCGGGGCTTGCCTGACCTGGTGCTCCCGTCCGGGGGCTGCAGGCCGAGGGCAAGGCAACGTCTGCTCCCGACACGGTGCAGACTCCTGGGGTGGACGGGGGCAGCAGGACCGTGCTGCGGGAAGGGCCGTCCGGGGCCGGGCGGGAGTCTGGGCCTGCGGCCAGGCCTGTCCATCAGACCAACACTGTGGCTGCTGAAGGCCATGTCCCTCCTGGAACTTCCATCTTCACCTGTAAAATGAAGAAGTTAACTGTCCCTGGGAGAGAAGAAGTGCGACCACATTCTGATACGAACATTGAATCACTTATTCTTGTCTGTCCGAGTTAGCAGGGGCTCTGGAGGTTCAGGCAGGCTCCCGCCGGCCTCCCGCACTTCCCTCAGGGGTCCCTGCGGGTGCTCAGCGTGTGTGTTGCCCCCTGGGGCTCCTGGGGCATCTTTCCCTGCGGCCCTGGTCCCTCCTGGGCCTCAGGCGCTGGGCAGCCAGCTGTCTCCCAGGGCATCGGAGACAGAAGTTCTCGCAGGGCCAGCCAGCAAAGGTGGGGCTGGGGAGGACACAACCCGGATAATCACAAGTCCTCGGTCTACATCCTCAGCTTTTATTCATTTCAAGCCAAGAAACACACATGGAGCACCGACTGGGTACCAAATGGTGTGACAGGCCGAGGGAAATGGACAGACGAACAGGGTGAAAAACAGCCCTGGCCCGTCTGACTCAGCGGTTAGAGTGTGGCCCGCGGACCAACGAGTCGTGCGTTCCCCCCGGAATGGGTCCTGTGAGAAGCAGCCAGTCGATGTGTTTCTCTCACATCAATGTTTCTGCTTCTCTCTCTCTCTTTCTCTCCCCCTCCCTCACACTCTCTCTGAAGATAACTGGAAAAATATTCTCGGGTGAGGATTGTTTTTTTAAAAGTGAAAAACAACCCCCAACATTTATCCATGTGATCCGGACACATAGGGGGCCTCTCCCGCTACCCTGGACGGCCTGCATAGCAGCACGGCGGCAGGGAGGGTCAGTCCCGTTTACAGCAGGGACAGGCTCAGCCAGGCAGCAGCAGCCTGGCGGCTTCCCCGGAGCACACCTGCCGAGTGGTGCCTTCCTGCGTGGTTGAGACGGTGCAGAGACAGGGGCGGAAGCAAGCAGACAGGGGTGCAGCAGGCAGCAGGACCCAGCCAGACTCGGCGGCGCGTCCGCGATCTGAGGCCCACGGTGGCACTGTGTGTCGATCTGACCTGAGCACGCGTCATGCCAGGAGTCTGGGCCTGGTCCGGTCCCCAGGGCTCACTGCTCCGGCCCTTGCATGCCCTGGTTCTCTGAGCAGGCACAGTGCTCTCGTGCACGTGCACACGGGCGGGGAGAGCCCAGGGTGAGCCCCGTCCCTGCGTGAGGCCTAGGACAGACGGCGAGGCTGCAGAGGCTGGGCCGACTTCCACGTCTCCCCTGGCCTCAGGAGTGGAAGGCCATTCCAGCCCTTTACGTGCTGCTCCCAGGGGGAGCTTACCAACAGGGACCCCGCGAACCAGTGCAGCGTCTTCCCCACGCGGTACTGGAGGGGAGGTATGACAGTGACCACCCCAACAAGAAAAGAAATCACTCTTTTACTCTCGGGTGGGAATTACTCATTTCAGCACCTGCTCCAAAGAAAACTGATGTGGCTGTGGACGAGAGCAAAGCCAAAAGCTTCCTGGGCAGCCTGAAGCGGCAGCGGCGGCAGCTGTGGGACCGCACCCGGCCGGAGGTCCAGCAGTGGTACCAGCAGTTCCTCTACATGGGCTTCGACGAGGCGGTGGGTATGCGCTCCGGTGGGGCCCGGCTCCCGCAGGGCAGCGGTGGGGAGCAGGGCACGGAGAAGTAGGCCTCACTATTCGCCCCAGAAGTACAAGCCCCCACTATCTGCCAAGCACCAGCCAGGCCTTAGGTTACGTGGCCATCAGTACAAGGCCGGCAGCTGGAATTTTCCACCACACCGGGTCCAAATGGGAAACCCTTCCAACATGCGTGGGAAGTGGAATTCCAGAGAAGTCTCTGCCCAAATTGGCTGGAACTTACATCCATCGAGAATCTGATTACCTGGGAACAATTTTTATTTTTTTTTATTTTGTTTTTGGTACATGCCCCTAATGGGAACCAAACCCAGGACTGTCTGGTCCACAGGCCAACGCTCCAACCTGAGCCAAACCGGCCAGGGCTACCTGAGAACAATTTTGACAGCTTTGCCTGGGTGTCCTTAAAATAACTCACAACCTCCCCAAAACATTTTCAGCTTTACCTCAAAAAATGTCCAAAACAACATCAATGCAAAGACCCATGAGGACAATAGAAAGAGATGAAAACTGACTTTTAAAGACAGATGGGTCAGCCTGGCCAGTGTGGCTCGGTGGTTGAGCGTCCCCATGCACCAGGAGGTCACTGGTTCAATTCCCAGCCAGGGCACATGCCGAGGTTGTGGGCCCGATCCCCAGTGGGGGGCACGAAGGAGGCAGCCAATGAATGTCCTCTCTCATCCATGTTTCTACTCTCTCCATCTCTCTTTAAAAAAATAAATAAAGAGAGATGGGTCTTTGCAAATGTTTTGGGGATAATTTGTCATTGTGTTTGCAGGAAAAGATAGTTCAGGTCATGTGTCCAGGTAGTGAGAGTGGACATATTCACCAAATTACAGGACACAAGTGTTTATAATCACGGACTCCCAACTGGGGACCAGGGACAGGTGAGACGGCGCAGGGGTGGGGTGGGGGCTGTACTGCACCGAGTTCTGCAGTGATGGGGGGCGGCAGGGGTCAGGCTCAGTGTGCAGCGTGCTCCGCCCACCACCAGCCTGGTGGGGGTGGGGGATGACGCGCAGCACCTCCAAGGAGGGCAGATGGAAGTGTTTTTCCAAATGGACCCATGATTCATATTGTGAATCCAGGGTGTGTACAAATACTGCAGTAGGTGAAAACAAATTAAACTCTTTAGAGACTCCTCTTTAAAATTAAATTTAGTCCTGGCTGGTTTGGCTCCGCAGTTAGAGCGTCAGCCCACAGACCAAAGAGTCATGGGATCAATTCCAGTCAAGGGCACGTACCTCAGTTGCAGTTTGGTCCCGGCCCTGGTCAGGGTTGTTCTGGAGGCAACCAGTCAATGTGTCCCTCTCACGTGGATGTTTCCCCCTCCCTCCCTCCCTCCTTCCCTCCCATGTTTCTGAAGATAAATAGAAAAGTATCCCCAGGTGAGGATTTTTTTTAAAGTAAATTTATTGGGAAACAAAAACAGAAATAAATGAATGGGACTACTTCAAACTAAAAAGTTCCTACACCGCAAAAAAAAGAAACCATCCACAAAACAAAAAGGCAGCCAACCGAATGGAAGAAGATATTTGCAAACAATACCTCCAGTACGGGGCAAAACCCAAAATGTATAAAGTGCTCATACACTCGAGAACAACAGAACAAACAATCCGGTTATGAGATGGGCCCTGGAGGCGGCTGTTTTTAATGCATAAGATGCAAGCCTGTGGCCGTGTCACATCTCCTTCTCATCCCAACCACTGCACATACCGGCTGCTCCCCGATTCTCTGTCTACTACTCAACTGTAACTTTTTGTTGTACAAGCAAATTGCTAGACACTTATAGTCAAACTGTGCCAGGAATGATTCTAGTTCTTGTATGAATTAACTTACTCAGCATTCACGACAACCCGAAAGGCTGGCGCTATGATCAGCATCTCTGTGTGTAGTTTGTTTCTTACTTAGTATTGCATTCTGCCCGGAGGATTTCCTGGGTCAAAGGTAGAATTCTTTTTAAGGGTCGTTAAATATGGCCAACTTGCATGTTCCCCTCAGTCACGTACGAGGGCCTGTGCTCTCACACCTTCTGCAGCAGCTGTTATCTCACTGAAAACGTCAAAAGGTTTTACTTACTGTCGTCCCTGCCACTTCGCGCCTCCACTTCCGCGGCTTCCCTGTATCACAGTTTTCTCAAATACTGTATCACACTATACCATACTGTACTATACCATACTATACTATACTATACCATACTGTACTATACCATACTATACTATACTATACCATACTGTACTATATCATACTATACCATACTGTACTATACCATACTATACTATATTATACCATACTGTACTATACCATACTATACTATACTATACTATACTATACTATACCATACTGTACTATACCATACTATACTATATTATACCATACTATACTATACCATACCATACTGTACTATACCATACTATACTATACTATACTATACTATACCATACTGTACTATATCCAACTATACCATACCTTACTATACATACTATACTATACTATACCATATCAACTGTACTATATCACACTATACCTACTGTACTATACCATACTAGACTATACTATACTATACCATAACTGTACCGTATCATACTATACTATACCATACTGTACTATACACACTACCCATACATACTATACTATACCATACTGTACTATACCATACTATACTATATTATACCATACTGTACTATACCATACTATACTATACTATACTATACTATACTATACCATACCATACTGTACTATATCACACTATACCATACTGTACTATACCATACTATACTATACTATACCATACTATACTATACCATACTGTACTATACTATACTATACTATACTATACTATACTATACTATACCATACTGTACTATATCACACTATACCATACTGTACTATACTATACTATACTATACTATACTATACCATACTGTACTGTATCACACTATACCATACTGTACTATACCATACTATACTATACTATACCATACTGTACTGTATCACACTATACTATACTGTACTATATCATACTATACTATACTGTACTATACTATACTATACCATACTGTACTATATCACACTATACCATACTGTACTATACTATACTATACTATACTATACCATACTATACTATACTATACTATACCATACTATACTATACTATACTATACCATACTGTACTGTATCATACTATACTATACTGTACTATATCATACTATACTATACTGTACTATACTATACTATACCATACTGTACTATACCATACTATACTATATTATACCATACTGTACTATACCATACTATACTATATTATACCATACTGTACTATACCATACTATACTATACTATACTATACTATACTATACCATACTATACTATACTATACTATACCATACTGTACTATACTATACCATATTGTTCTATACTATACCATACTATACTATACTATACTATACTATACCATACTGTTCTATACTATACCATACTATACTATACCATACCATACCATACCATACTATACTATACTATACTATACTATACCAGGCTTGTTCTATTTTATACTATACTATACTATACCATACCATACCATACTATACTTATACTATACTTATACTATACTATACCATACCATACCATACCATACCATACTTATGCTATACTATACTATACAATACTATACTATACTATACCATACCATACTATATTATACCATACCATACTATACTATACCACACTATACCATACTGTACTATACCATACTATACCATACTGTACTATATCATACTATACCATACTGTACTATACTCATACATAAACTATACTTATTATACCATACTCTACCATATTATACCATACATAGCTTTATACTATACTATACTATTATACCATACCATACTGTAACTCATATACTATACTATACTATACCATACTATACCATACACTATACTATACTATACCATACCATACTATACTATACTATACTATACTATACTAATACCATACTATACTATACTATACTATACTAACTACTACTATCCATACTGTACTGTATCATACGATACTGTACTATATCATACTGTACTATACTTACTATACAGACTATAACCATACTGTACGATATCACACTATACCATACTGTACTATATCACACTACACCATACTGTACTATACTATACTATACTATACTATACCATACTGTACTATATCATACTATACTATACTGTACTATACCATGCTGTACTATATCATACCATACTATACTGTACTATACTATACTGTACTGTACTATACCATACTGTACTATACTATACTATACTGTACTATACCATACTGTACTATACTATACTATACTATACTATACTATACCATACTGTACTATATCACACTATACCATACTGTACTATACCATACTATACTATACTATACTATACCATACTGTACTGTATCATACTATACTATACTGTACTATATCATACTATACCATACTGTACTATACCATACTATACTATACTGTACTATACTATATCATACTGTACTATATCACACTATACCATACTGTACTATACCATACTATACTATACTATACCATACTGTACTGTATCATACTATACTGTACTATATCATACTATACCATACTGTACTATATCATACTATACTATACTGTACTATACTATACCATACTGTACTATATCACACTATACCATACTGTACTATACCATACTATACTGTACTATATCACACTATACCATACTGTACTATACCATACTGTACTATACTGTACTATACCATGCTGTACTATATCATACTATAGTATACTATACTATACTATACTATACTATACTATACCATACCATACTGTACTATATCATACTATACTATACTGTACTATACCATGCTGTACTATATCATACTATACTATACTGTACTATACTATACTGTACTGTACTATACCATACTGTACTATATCATACTATACTATACTATACCACACTGTACTGTATCATACTATACTATACTGTACTATACCATACGTACCATACCTGTACTAGACAACAACTATCCCATACTGTACTGTACAGACTATATCCATACTGTAGCTGTACTATACCAGACTGTACTATATCGTACTATAACATAACTGTATTAGACCAACGGTAACCTATGATACTATCCAATGACGTACTAATGCTATACCATACCATACTGTACTATACTATACCATACTGTACTATACTATACTATACCATACTGTACTATATCATACTATACCATACTGTACTGTACTATACCATACTGTACTATATCGTACTATACCATACTGTATTATACCATACTGTACTATATCATACTATACCATACTGTACTATATCATACTATACCATACTATATCACACTATACCATACTGTACTATATCATACTATACCATACTGTACTATATCATACTATACCATACTATATCACACTATACCATACTGTACTATACTATACTATACTATACTATACCATAGTGTATTATATCACACTATACCATACTGTACTATATCACACTATACCATACTGTACTATACTATACTATACCATACAGTACTGTACTATACTATACCATAATGTTCTATACTATACTATACCATACCGTACTGTACTATACTATACCATACCGTTCTATACTATACTATACCATACCGTTCTGTACTATACTATACCATACCGTTCTGTACTATACTATACCATACTGTACTATATTATACTATACCATACCGTACTATATCATACTATACCATACTGTACTATATCATACTATATCATACTATACCATACTGTACTATACTATACTATACTATACTATACTATATAGACTATACATACATACTGTACTATATCACACTACACCATACTGTACTATACCATACTATACTATACTATACTATACCATACTGTACTATATCACACTATACCATACTGTACTATATCATACTATACCATACTGTACTATATCGTACTTACCATACTGTACTATATCATACTATACCATACTATACTATACTATACTGTACTGTACTATACTATACCATACTGTACTGTATCATACTATACTATACTGTACTATACCATGCTGTACTATATCATACTATACTATACTGATTATCATGTACTGTACCTACTTTAATCATACTATACTATACTATTATATATACTGACTTGTACTATACTACTTACCATACTGTCTATATCATACTATACCATACTATACTATACCATACCATACCGTACTGTACTATACTATACCATACCGTACCATACTATACTATACCATACTGTACTATACTATACTATACCATACCGTACTATACTATACTATACTATACTATACTATACATACTATACTATACTATACTATACTATATCATACTGTTCTATACTATACTATACTATACCATACCATACCATACTATACTATACCATACTGTTCTATACTATACCATACCATACCATGCCATACTTATGCTATACTATACTATACTATACTATACTATATTATACCATATCATACTATACTCATACTATATTATATTATACCATACCATACCATACCATACTATACTATACTATACCATACTCTATTATACCATACCATACTATACTTATAATATATTATACTATACCATACCATACCATACTATACTTATACCATACTATACCTATACCATACTATACTTATATTATGTTATACTATACTATACCATACCATACCATACTTATACCATACTATACTTATACCATACTATACCTATACCATACTATACTTATACTATACCATACCATACCATACCATACCATACTTATACCATACTATACTATACCATATCATACCATACCACACACACCACACCACACCACACTATACTATATTATACCATACCATACCACACCACACCATACCATACCATACCATATCATACTTATACCATACTATACTATACCATACCACACACACCACACCACACACACCACACCACACCACACCACACCACACATACCACACCACACACACCATACCACACACACCACACCACACCACACACTACACACACCACAGCACACCACACTATACTATATTATACTATACCACACCATACCACACCACACCATACCATACCATACCACACACACACACCACACACACATACCACACACACACACCACACACTACACACACCACACCACACACACACACCACACCACACTATATTATACTATACCACACCATACCATACCACCCCACACCATACCATACCATACCACACACACACACCACACCACACTATACTATATTATACTATACCACACCACACCGCACCACACACACCACACCACACACTATACACACCACACCACACTACACTATACTATATTATACTATACCACACACACCATACCACACACACCACACCACACACTACACACACCACACCACACACACACACCACACCACACTATATTATACTATGCCACACCATACCATACCACACCACACCATACCATACCACACACACACACCACACCACACATACCACACACACCACACCACACCACACTATATTTGAAAACACCGCGATAGAGGGAAGCCGCGGAAGTGAAGCGGAAGTGGCAGGGACGACTGTGTAAACAAAGAATCCCACTTGGCAGAAATCCATGTATCGCAGTAGAGCCTGGAACTGATTAACCGCGATAAACGAGGGCCGCTGTACTTGGTAGATAAAATGCCTTATGCTCCTTTAGCACGTTGCATTGCTTTGATTACCAGTATGTGCAGTTCATAAAAATGGGTATGAAGAGTGGCTAAAATAGTGTGTGATGATGGAACCCGGATAAAGGAGGATCAGATAAGAGTCTCACGGCTGAACGTGCACAGACCGCGCTGGAGGGAACCCGTCTAGGGCAGCGGTGGCCGCCCCGGCAATGGCATCCTGCCCTCCCTTTTTCTTTGACCCCCTCCTACATACAGATTTTAAAATATGAGCCTACGTTTTTTTCTGTAGTCATAAATATTTTAAAACTTTAGTAAAAAAAATATATATTTTAAGCCAAACTTCAAACAAGATTCTGAAATGCGAGAAATCAAGGAACAGTGTTGGGAGACAGGCCAGCGTCCCCCCAAGGCCGAGTCAGGGAGGCTCCAGCGCCCCGGCCGAGTCAGGGAGACGGCATTGAACCTGCTCGCCAGCCGGGCACGGGCCCCACTGCGCACCCGAGGGTGGCCACTGAGGACCGCTGTGCGAGGCCAGCTTCCAGCCGCAGGCGTGCCCAGGTGTTAGCGTCTTACTAAAATAAAAACAGCTGGGGGGGGGAGGGGACATCTGTAATACTTTCAACAATAACAAGAGATAAAAATAAAATAATAATGATACAAATAGCGTCCTGAGACCCAACCACCAGAAAGTGGGACCCCGGAGGCGTGCCTGGGAACCTGCATTTCGCCGCGTCCCCGCAGGTGTGGGGCAGTGGTGCACTGGCCACACTTTCAGAAGACCTGGCCCCAAAGCCCAGACTGTTAGACACACCCCAGCCTCCCCAGGCCCTGTGTCTGCTCTGCCTTTTTGCCCTTTTGACAAACTTCTTACCACGTCCTGAGCACGACAGGGGTGATCTAATCCGAAGCCGTCCTACACCTTCACCACCAGCCACGAACACCTGATCTCTCCTTTAACCGTGGAGTAACGGGGAACACCAGCGGCCCAAACTTAAACCTGAACGTCCTTCTTACTTCTCACTCACCTGCAGTCCTTCTCCTTCCCTTTTACTGTCATCAGCTGCAGCAGTCTGTTTCCTCGTGTCCCCCGGAATCGTAGGCGTCCTGACGGCCCCAGACGTCTCACTGGTGTCGGGTGGCCCTCAGGGCCCAGCTCAGGGCCTGACACGCTGTGTCCGTTGAATCAGTGTCTGAGGAATGAACAGGCACCTGTGCACGCTCTAAGCAACACCACAGGAACAAGGGGTCACCCGCAGGGTACTCCGCGGTGCTCTGACTGGTCTCACTGAACCACCACGTGTTAACACCTAGACGTGCACTAGGGCGGGCCGGGCACAGGACAGGGACAGGAAGACATGCACAGTGCCAGGGCCGGGCCAAGTCGTTACTGTACTGGGCAGATGTCTGTCTTACTTACCAAAAAAGAGGAAAATGTTGATCTGGGATATATTTAAAAGTTTTCATGGGTCTGGTGGGTGTGTCCTCCTTGGGGAACATGTTTTACCGGTCCCCTGTGGCCGGCTGCAAGCACCCCGAGCACAGGAATACTATGACCAGGACTCATTCCTAGCGAGGGTTGTTAATCATTGAAGAATCACCTCAGACAAAGCCAGGGCTGGGATGGGTCAGGGCTGTGTGTCCTTCAACCCGCTCTGTATGGTTTTCCCTCTTCTCCAGAAATTTGAAGATGATGTCACCTACTGGCTAAACAGAGATCGGAATGGTCATGACTACTATGATTACCACCGTCACTACGACGAGGACGCCCCCATTGGTCCCCGGAGCCCCCACAGTGCTCGGCACGGAGCCAGCGTCAACTACGACGACTACTGACCCCTGTCCTGCCGCGTACGAGGAGCCAGGGGTCCTCCTTCCTCTTCCCAGTGCCTGCGCAGTGGCTTCTGCTGTGCCTGTGTCCGCAGCTCTCTTCTGCACACTTGCTATGACCGGAAAGGAAGAGTGAAAACAACGAATATAAATGCTTTTTGGTATTTTATGCAAGTACCTAACAGTGCATTTCACTAAAAATAGCAATAAAAGCATTTTGTTAAAAAGAAAAGTCTCAGAATGAAAATTAAGCTGGCGACAGTTTTCATCACTGGGCTGTTTCTGGAGTTGAAGCGTCATCTGCGAGGTCCCCTCCACTATCATCCCAGGGTGACCCTCTGGGAATCTCCCCACCCCCAGGCCAACCCTGGGACCTAGAGGTGTCTTCCTGTTGTTAATTTTCAGTCCACATTAAATACCAGATACACAACCAGCCAGAACGTTTCGTTGAACATGGTTTGAGGTGACAGCACTAGGCTTTCTGGGTCCCAGCCCCTGAGCTAGAACCGGACCTGTTCCATGTTATCATCCAGGATGGAAGAGTAATCAAAAATCTCGGAAGTTTGGTTGATTTCAGAGCCTCGCTTATCTTTAAAAATTAAACCTTGTCCAGTGAATTCAAGAAAGATTTAAGAGTATATTTAAATCTCCCGGGTGAATGGAAGAGAAAAGTGGTGTTGGAGAGGAAGGGGGGAAGGAGATGCAGGCGAAGGCCGGGGCCTGGCTGACGAGGCCCTGGGTGCAGCCCAGGTGCTTGCGGAGCTGCAAGGGTGGGGTGGGCTGGGGTGAGACGACAGCGTGGGAAGGTCCCCTTAGAATGAATGACTCATACTTTTGTGCGTCAGACCCTTTTGAGGGTCTAATGCAGCTATTTTCAACCTTTTTCATCTCTTGGGTTACACCAAAAACTATGTTTTTGTTGTTCTGACCAAAATATGGATATAATTTTGATTCGTTCACACTGGATGGCTATCATTGTGTTGACTGTTGTCATTTTTGCATTTGACAGTCCAAGGGAGAGAGGTCATGCCCCTGACTAAACAGTCCGGTGTTGCATGTTTTAAAAATTCTTGCGGCAAACGGGTTGGGAATCACTATTCTAATGGAAGCTTGTTTGTTCTTTCTCAGAAAAATGATACGTGATTTCACATACAGTCTTTGAAATGCACCCCCATCCAGTAGCCGTGGGCAACAACCCCTGAGCTCAGGAGGAAGGACCGGCTCCAGGAGAGCAGTGTTTGTGGACTGTGATAACATCTGCACCGTCGTAATTCTGTTTCCTCCTTTGGAATGCAGCTCAGCAGCACTCAGCAGATTCACGTCCTGTGCATCAGCACCATTATCCACCACCGTTTCCATCTTCCCAAACTGACACTGTCCCACTAGTTTCAACTCCCCTTCCTCCTCCCCCAGCCTCTGGAACCTGCCATTCTACTTTTTCCCTATGAACATGACTATTCTAGGTCCCTCATACAAGTGGAATCATATAGTCCTAGTCCTTTTGTGACTGGGTTATTTCACTTAGCACACTGTCTTCAAGGTCCATCCATCCATCCAGGTCGCAGCAGATGTCAGGATTTCCTTCCTGTTTAAGATTGAACAATGTTCCGTTGCACGCAGAGTACACCAGCTTTTGTGGACCCACTCACCTGTTGACGAGCCCTTGGGTTGCTCTCACCTTTCGCTCTTGCGAATAACGCCGTGATGAGAGTGATGTACAATGATCTCTGTGTTCTGGCTTTCAGTTCTCTGGGCATATGCCCAGAAGCGGAATTATTGGATCATATGGTAATTGTTTATTTTTTAGGAGCTGCTACACGTTCTCCACAGCAGCTGCACTATTTTAAATGACCACCCTTAATTAAAACTTCTGTTTCTTCTTCTTGACCACTCCTGGGCTGGCGCAAACTCCACGCAGCGCTAAAGAGGAGGGAGAAAGATGACGGAGAGGACATCTTTGCTTCATTCCTAGTCTTAAAGGGGGTGCTTCCCATGTCTCCCCATAAACTATGTTTGCTGGATATTTTTGTAGATGTCTCTTATCAAGTTAAGGAAATTTCTATTAATTTTAAAATTATGCTAAGAAAAATGATTTTTAATTCTCACCCGAGGTTTTTTCCACTGATTTTTTTTTTAGAGTGGAATGGAAGGAGAGAGGGAGGGGGAGAAAGAGAGAGAAGCATCGACGTGAGGGAGACACATTGATTGGTTGCTTCCCACACACGCCCCGACCAGAACCAGGGACTGAACCTGCAACCCAGGCATGTGCCCTTGACCAGGAATCAAACCCACTACCCTTTGGTCCATAGGCCAATGCTCTAACCATTGAGCCATGCTGACCAGGGCTAAGACATTTTTTTTTTCCTTACCTAAGAATATTTTTCCATTTTTTTGTTCAGATAGAGTGGGAGGGAGAGAGAGAGAAACATCGACATAAAAGGGTCACATCAAGTGGCTGCCTCCCACACGACCCAACCAGGGCTGGGGACAAACTGCAACCAAGGTACATGCCCTTAGTGGGAACTGAACCTGGGTCTCTGGACTGCAGGCCGATGCTCTAACCGCTGAGCCAAACCGGCCAGGGCAGGTCTAAGAAATTTTTAATGTCATATATGGATATTGAATTTCATATTCTTTATCTATTGAGATAATATAACTTTTCCTTTTTAATCTCTAATTAATGTGGTAAATTCTATTAATAAAATTGTAATATTAATCAACTGAATGCCTGGAATACTAACTTGAACATGATTTTTTCAGTCATTGCTGGATCTGGTTGGGTAGTATTTGTTCAGAATTTTTGCATCCTTGCTCATGAGTATCTTCTTTTCCATTCTCTGTGTAAGAACGGAATTATGTTTCCCAAATGTCCAGCAGCATGCAGACAGAGCCATTTGAATGTGGTGCTTTCTTCATGATAAAATGTCTGACTTTGGGTTGCATTCATTTTACAGTCAAAGGATTATTTTAATTTTATCTTTCTCCTTGATCTGTTTCTATCTTTCTGCGTCATCATCCATTATACCAATATTTTGAAGTGTGTTGAGAGTTGTTTTTAATACCCTCTTATCTGTTTTTCTCAGTAGCATCTGTGGTAATGTTCTTTTTTTTTTTTTTTTCCATTCATTCATTTTATTTCTGCCTTTTAAAAAAATAAATCTTATATTTTCCAACATGCAGTTTTTGCTTTATTGAACTCCTCCTTATGTGCTTCTGCTTCATGAATTTATGTCCCTTTAATTTTATTGCCTCTGCATCTGAGTCTTTAATATTAGATCTTATCTCCATTTGAGCCTTCTTATATTTTTGAAGGTGAGCATTTAATACTCTTACATTTCCTTCCAAGTATTGTATCCTATGAGTTGGACATGAAAAGTTACATGATAAATTTTTCTAATCTCAATTATAATTTCTCCTTTGACTTTTGACCCATGAGTTGATTATAAGTATTATTAAATTGACGAATGAATTTTTAAAATGATCTTATAGGCTTTCTTTTCTAACTTCATTGCACTGTGGTTACAATAATGTGATCAGTCAGATCCCAATCCTTTGAGTATACTGAGGTTAGCCAGACTCATGTCCAAGCGTGTATCCGCCTCGGCCAGTGCTCCATGAGGGCTTGAAAGGAATGTGTAGTTTCCAGACATCCAGCTCAAGTTCCACATTACACTTCTCGAACTTTCTATTTTCTTCCTTTTTGAGGGGATCCATTTGATCTGATTGGTGTGTTAAAATCTGATGGATTTGCAAGTTTTTCCTTTATTCTTATCAGTCTGGCTTTATATGAGGCACAAATTCTTATTTATGTAGTACACATAAATTTAGAATCAATACATCTTCCCACTGAATGGAGTCATTTATCATTATGCAGTAAATTTCATTATTTCTATGATGCTTTTTGTCTGAATTCTTCTAACATTCCTTCTTTTGGTTACTACTTGCCTGGTCTATCTTTTCCACAATCTGGCCTTTATCTTTCTGTGTCCTTTTCCCCCCCAGTCAGTTGACATACATTATTATATTAGTTTCTGGTGTACCTCCCAGTGATTAGACATTACATAGTTAACTAAGTGATCATCCTGATAAATCTCACACTCATCTGATACCATAGTTATTAGAATATTATTAAGCATATTTCCTATGCTATATCCCCATGACTATTCAGTAACAACTTATTTGTACTTCTTAATTCCTTTACCTTTCTCACCCATCCCTCCAAATCCCTCCCATCTGGCTACTGTCAAAATGTTCTTTGTATCTATGAGTCTGTTTCTGTTCTTTTTATTCATTTTGTTTTTTAGATTCAGCTCTTGATAGATATGTTGCTATTTTGTTGTTCATCTTTTTAATCTTCATTTCTTCTTCTTCTTAAATATACTTTAACATTTTATATAACAATGGTTTGGTGGTGATAAACTCCTTTAGCTTTTTCTTGTCTGGGAAGGACTTTATATGTCCTTTGATTCTAAATGATAGTTTGCTGGGTGGAGTAATTTTGGTTGAAAACGCGTTGCTGTTCATCACTTTGAATATTTCTTGCCTATCTCTTCGGGTCTGCAAAGTTTCTATTGAGAAATCAGATGACAGTCTTATGGGAGCTCCCTTATAAGTAACTAACTGCTTTTCTCTTGCTGCTTTTAAGATACTCGGTCAACATTTCACATTTTAATTATGATGTGTCTTGGTGTGGGCCTCTTTGGGTTCATCTTGTTTGGGACTTGTATGTATGTCTATTTCCTTCACCAAGTTAGGAAAGTTTTCTGACATTTTTTCAAATAGGTTTTCCTTTTCTTTTCTTTTTCTTTCTTTTTTTGGTATGCGCCGCTAGCGGGAACCGAACCTGGGACTCTCTGGTCTGCAGGCCAATGCTCCAACTGCTGAGCCAAACTGGCCAGGGCATCAAATAGGTTTTCAATCTCTTGCTTTTTCTCATCTCCTTCTGGCACCCCCATGATGCAAATGTTGGTATGGTTGTAGTTGTTCCAGAGACTCTTACACTATCATCATTTTTTAAATTCATTTTCTGGATTTTTTTTTGGGGGGGGGGTTCTCTTTT